TAATAATAATTTCTAACTTGTTTCTTGTTTTGTTTTTTGTTTTTTTTGTAGAGGAGGTGAAAATCTGCTGAACAAAGGATAAAACAAGAGGCCGACAGCGCTCGAAGTGTCGCAGCCATGAGGCAGCACATCAGAATTAACATCAAGAYCCTGATTTTTATGATGGTTCTGCAGGGAGCTGCAGTTCTGCTGTTCTCCAACTGGAGCACGCAACCAAAGACTCTGAGCCCCACCGAATCTGAACGTAAAGTTCACGTTCTGCTGCTCTCATCATGGCGTTCAGGTTCGTCCTTCCTGGGTCAGGTTTTCAGTCAGCACCCRTCTGTTTTCTATCTAATGGAGCCCGGCTGGCACGTGTGGACCCGAGTGCAGAAACCCAGGGCCCGGCTCCTCCGAATGGCTGTGAGAGATGTACTGCGAAGTCTGTACCAGTGTGATTTCTCAGTGATGGATTCYTATCTTCCAGAAAACCCTCGTGTGTCCTCTTTGTTCATGTGGACTGAAAGTCGGGCTCTGTGCTCGCCTCCGGCCTGTCCCATCACAGCAAGAAATCAGACTCAGTGTAGTCAGAAATGTAATTTTCAAGGTTTCCAAAAGGTAGCTGCTTCCTGTAGCTCACACAGTCATGTGGTGTTTAAGGAAACTCGACTTTTTGAGCTGGAATCCCTTTACCCMCTTCTGAAAGACCCCTACCTGGACCTCCGCATTGTTCACCTGGTCCGGGATCCCCGTGCCATACTTAGGTCTAGAGAGGAGTCAGCCAGATCWTTGTGGTTTGATAACTTTGTGGTCATGGATCAGAAAAATATACCTGCAGCTGAGCTGCAGTTTAAAGTTATGCAGGAAATCTGCCGCAGCCATTTGCAGATCCGTAAAACGGCCATCCTGAATCCTCCTCCTTTTCTGAAAGGGCGCTACAAAATAGTTCGCTTTGAGGACCTGGCACACAACCCACTGAAAGAAGTCAATGATATTTATGAGTTTGTAGGTTTAAAGATGACCAGTCAGATGGAGAAGTATATCCACAAGCAGACTCATGGTGAGGGGAGAGGAAAAAAGACCCAGGCTTTTGAAACCATTTCCAGAAATGCTACCCTTGTGTCTCAGGCGTGGCGCACCATGCTGCCGTTCTACAAGGTCAAACATGTGCAGGAAGTGTGTAAGGAGGCCATGGAGCTGTTCGGGTACAAGACCGTCAGGACTGTAAAGGAGCAGAAAAACCAGAAAATAGATCTGCTAGTCCCACAGGAACCGTATGACTTTATGTGGGAACCAACTAAAACAAAGTAGAGTGGTAGTTCAAATGTGAATAACAAAAGCTTCTGCAGATCTGCCTCCAGGATCAGCTGTGTTGTGTCATGTCATGTTGACGGTTATAACACAGACGTATGGCAAACAGACACAAAACAGATCAGTTCCTAAACCTTTTCTTTCATAAACAAAGCTTGTTGTTGCAATATAAACACATTTGTAGTGTTTGATCCAGGATCTTTTTAAACACGTTAAGTGAGTTTTGTTTACAGAAGAATAATGTGATGAATCTATGAAAACAATAGAAAATTTACAGGTGCTTATGACATTGCTGAGAAAGATAAATTGTTCTTTTGTTCTATTTGTGTTCAGTTCCATAACAAGGTGCAGCTTCCTCTTTGACTCTGACATAACTTAATGCTGTTTTTCTGAKAAATATTTTTACAGGCCGATATTGTGCAATAACTTGACGTTTGCCTGAGGTGAATGATCAGACTGAGTCAGGATGTTTGATTTAGACTTACAGCTGGAACGGTCATATGAAGAAATAGCCTGAACTCCTCCAACAGCAACCTTTGAAACCTATGAAATTATTAAGTACGGTATTTGTCTGGCCAATAATGCATGAACATTGTAAACACGTTGTCTTTGTAAAAATATTTATTTTTATTTCTAATAGAGATGTCAAGAAAATCTGATACAAAAATGACATTAACCCAAGTCTTTGTATGCAGCAAAGCAAATATTTTTTCTGCTGTTTGCACATAATCTGATTTATTATAAATAAATTCTCCTCCAGATGTTACATCTCCATATTTTTATTTTGTTGCCCTTGTGCCAACATTTTCCAATTTGCTGTTTAGGCAAGATTGATGAAATGGCCTTAATTTTTAAAACAATTGAACTTATTTTAAAATTTCAAACATTTTATGTGTTTATTAACCTTCATTGTTAATAAAATAAATTTATGAAATTTGTAATCACTGCATTCTGTTTTGTATTTGCATTTTACATGACGTTCAAACTTTTCCTGAACTGGGACTGAGGTGCATTTGTACTGTTCTCCCTGTTCACGTGTTTTCTCCAGGTACTCCCAGGGGTGGAGCCACAGGGGTGGCCGGGCTTTCATCGGCCACTCGCAAATGATTGACAAGTAGGGTGCAAATTGAATGTGGCATTTCAAAGATGTTTTGTCTGGTGTAGGAACCTCAGTGTGAAGAAAAAAAAAGATAACTGTTGTGAACCACTGAATTAATACAAAACAACAATTGTGTGTAACAGTTCAGACCATTTGATAAAAACTTGGCAACATCTAGTCAGTAAAATAGCAAAGACAAGGAGAATTAAAAAAGTTTATGACCTTTAAAGGATGCTCAATATTCCTGATGCTAATGCATGAGTTCTCACAATGTCACGACTTTATTGTCATAAAATTATGATTTTATTCTCTTAAAAAAAATCTCATTCTGGCCCTAATACACGTAGTTGGGCATTGGTCT